AAGTGCTTGCCTGGCAAGCCTGAGGTCAATGAGTCCGCCTACCGGTAAAAAAAAAAAAAAAAAAAAAAGAAGGTCTTATGGTTCTATTTTAATGTATTCAGAACTCTGTAGAGCAAAAATGCGTACATCTCTAAAATACCTAGAAAGCAAAAATAAATAAGTAAATAAGATAAGATAAAATACCTAGAAAGCAGTACAAGGCAGTATGTACAGGGCTAGACTGTGACAGGCAGAGAGTATATTAGGCCTTTTTGCCTTTGGAACTCCACCCTTTGCTTGGTTTGAAGTATGTGTGGAATGTTATGATAGGACATAGTAGTAGTGGTGGTCAGACCTAGAGATGATGGGGAGATAAAAATATACATGTGAAATAAACCAGTATTTTAATAAAGTGAAAAAAAGAGAGTGGTAAAGTCCAACCCTGTCCTGTATGGGAAAAAAGAAGAAAAGCAGACCCCTGGGAGCAGTTTTAACAATGACTATAACAGAGAAATCTTTCCACACTGGTACCCATAGCGCCACCTCACTCTGCCATGGTAAAACTGGACTGTAAATCAGATAACCCTACTTAGCCAATTCCTGTAGATACAGGAAAATAAAAACTCCCAACCTGAACAATATCTGGGACGAGTTCATGTTCTCTAAAATTGAAGAATGAATTTTAGGAGCAACGGAGGTTAAGAGCAGAATATATTTATTGAGAGAATGAAAGCTTCTGTCCAAGAGAGGGACAGAAGCGGGGCCTGAGTGGGTTGCACCCCTTTTTGCCTTTGGTAGAAACTTGGCCCATAGGCTTCATAAGTGGTAGACAATCCAGTTGGCAATTTTACACACGTGCATAGCCACGTATTTTACCTTCTCCTTGATTGTTAGGGGACCCTTATGTTCTTTCTTCCAGGTTCTGGGCAGAATCCCGTTCGACAAGCCAGTGTAAGTGCCGGGATTCCTTACTCTGTCCCAGCATGGAGCTGCCAGATGATCTGTGGGTCAGGCCTTAAAGCCGTGTGCCTTGCAGCCCAGTCCATAGGGATTGGTGACTCGAGTATTGTGGTTGCAGGAGGCATGGAAAGTATGAGCAAGGTAAGCTCTGAAAAGACGCTTCTCGCTGACCTCTCCCTAAACAGCTGCAGTCGGCACAGCAGCAGAGTGCTGCGGATCAGAACTAGACTGAAACAAAGGCTAGAAATCAAACTAAGAATGGATGCAACCATGACCCCCACATGAACATTCATTCTCCAAATGGAAAATTCCATTTAAATCTGGGGATATAGCTCAGTGGCACAAGTGCCTGCCTGGCAAATGCAAGGTTCTGAGTTCAATTCCCAGTACAAGAAAAAAAAAATAAAAAGAAAATTCCATTTAAAGAAAAAGCCTATTAACCAGTACAACGGGGACTAGATATATTATGTTTAAATTGTTGTTATGAGGCAGTACAGTATTTCCCAAATTAAACCCATAGTATAGTGGGGCATGGTGGTAGACAACTGTAATCCAGCACTTTGGGAGGCTGAGGCAGGATTGTGAATTTTAGCCTAGTTTGGGAAACTTAGAGACTTAGTGGGATCCTGTCTCAAAGTAATAAGGTCTGAGGATGTAGCTTAGTGTGAAGGCACTGGCTCAATGCCTGGTACTGCAAAAACATAATATGACTTGCTTGATAACTTTGGTTTTAAATTAACTTCCTTTTGTATGGAAAAGAAAAAAATCGGATTAACTTTTCAGCTGCACATGGTGACACATGACTCAGGCTGAGACAAGAGGATTATGCATTTGAGACCAGCCTGAGCTACAGAGCAAGTTCAAAGCTAGCCTGGGCTATACAGTGAGATCCTGTCTCACAGGGAGAAAAAAAAAGAGCACTCTCTTTTTCTTCTCTTTTTTTTTTTTTTTTGGTACCAGGAATCGAACTCAGGACCTCATGCTTGCCAGACAGGCGCTTGTGCCGCTGAGCTATCTCCCCGGCCCAAAAGAGCACTTTCTTCTCAGAAATCCCTACCAGTTTAGGCAGCCTAATTCTCACTGTCAGCCTTATTTGACCCATTGAAACAGTTAAACATCCTTAGCATTAGTTAAGGCTACATGAGCTCCTTCAGTCGACAGATGATTAGTTGCGCCTCTGGAAGTGTAAATCGGATCTTTAAAGAAGTACAGTGATACCTCAGATGTTGTTCCAAATTTGCATTCAAACACAGAAAAGTTTGAGAGCTGAACACATTTTTCTCATAAGAAATAATAGAAAAGCAAATAATTGGTTCTGAGGCCCAAAAAATTACACTTATAAATTCATTTTTCCAGGACTTTAACACAAAGTTAACAGCCTTAAATTGTAGAAATACCCCTAAAGTATCAAAACACAACATAGCAAATAAAATTTTTCACAAATTTTGTTCAGGTAGTTTACCTTGACTTGGAGGCTTCCTGGCATACTGGGAGCTGGAGAGAAATTGGAGGACAAATGTTATTTTTTCTTTGAAACAGAGTCTCCTTCCATAGTGACTGCTGGCAGTACATTTTCTGGAGTCTTTTCTTGCACTTTTCTCACCAAAAATTCATCTGGGTGAGAGTGGCACTTAGACTTACCCTTTGTGTCTACAGCAACATGCTGCGTATGACTCACTCTCGGTTCTTTCAAGTAGGATTTTCGGTTCAACTATGGAGCAAAATCACAAACACCAAGCATATTTTTTCACACTTTGCTGTCTGAGTGGTAGGAAGTTCAAGCTTAGAGCAGTTTGACAGCTGGGTATCACCATGAGACACAGAGTGGGTAAGATTGAGGGAGACATGGAAATGGGCAGGCAGGTGAGTGAAGGATTCGAGAGTAGGCAGGGTGGGGCTGTCCACTACTCTTAAGGGCATTCGGGTTCTAGTGGGGAGGGAGACTACATGCAAGGGGAACTACATGAAGGAAATACTAGATAGTTCTGAGTGGGATACCAAGGGGAAGGCTAATGACAACCAAGCCTAAATCCATTGTTATTATTTCCAGGCTCCTCACTTGGTTCACTTAAGAACAGGAATGAAGATTGGTGAGATGCCATTACGTGACAGTATACTTTGTGATGGTCTTACAGATGCCTTTCACAACTACCATATGGGTGTGACTGGTAAGGCAGACATAGCTGCAAATATAACCTGAAAAAGTTGGGAAAGACTGGGTAATATTAGTGAGTCTCACTGTCAGAGGCCATGCTGCTTGACTTCTCATTTGGTCAGGAAGCTGAGGCTGGGAATGGTGCCCAGAGGGTCCTGCGAAGCACATGGCGTTCATATATTTCATGGAGGTTGCCCAGGTGGCCTGTATCTCTTCAGGCCTGTCTTATTTACTTTGCTGTTGTTGCTGGGACAAAATACTCAATATCGCAAATTAAGGAAGGAAAGGTTTATTTATCTCAGGGTTTGTGGAGGTTTCAGTCCATAATCAGCTGGCTTAAAGCAGGGTGGCATGACAGGGCAACTGTTCAAGGTTGCAGAAGACAGCAAAACCAGCAAGAGCAAAAGGGATATGGAGGGACCAAAGCAAGTATAAAATCCAGCAGGGCAAACATTAAGTCCTGTAGTTCCACGTTCATCATGTGGTACAGTCTGTGGAACATTGTGCGCTCCCAAGGGCTTGTGTGACTCTACTCCTGTGGCACTTCTGGTGGGTACAGCTCCCACGGCTTCTTTCTTAGGCTCACTTTGCTCTCTCCCTTGTGCTCTTGTTGCTTTTGCTGTCTTTTGCCACCTTAAAGTGTTGTCTTTGTGTTGTGCCCCCCTGCCTTGGAGCCAGCTGATTATGGACTGAAACCTCCACAAACGTGTGAAATAAACCTTTCCTTCCTTAATTTTGGGTGCTGGGTATTTTGTCTCAGCAACAACAGAAAAGTAACTAAGAGAGGGACACCAGAAAGTCATCCCAGTTGTAGCTGTTGCTGTTCAGAACAGGGCTGTGGTGGATGGATCTGGAACTCGTGAGGAGCCAGCCTGTGCCTATCCAAGACAACCAGCTCACTGAGCTGGGCATGGTGGCATACATCTGTAATCCTAGCACTCGGAAGGCTGAGGCAGGATAGCTATGAGTTCAAGGCCAGCTTGGGCTACATAGTGAGTCTAAGGCCAGCCTGAACTACATAGTGAAACTCTGTCTCAAAAGCAAAAACAAAATCTGACTATCCTCAAGGGCCCTCACAGTGACCACTCTAAATCTGTGTCATAAGCCTAGCAGAAGTCAGATATCAGTACAAAGTGGTCAACTGTAAGACAGGCCAAGAAGATAAATGCCAGAGAATGGACAACCAAGATCGCAGGCTTTAACCATTTAAAAGTTAATCCAAGCATGATTGTCACATACTTGTAATGTCAGCTACTTGGGAGGCTGAGGCAGGAAGATCACAGTTTGGAAGCCAGAATGGGCAACTAAGCAAGATCTTGTCTCAAAATAAGAAAAGAAAAGGTGCTGGAGAGGTAGTTCCGTAGGAGCATTTCTAGCATGCTTGTGACCCTGTGAAGCTTGCATTCTCAGTACCAAATAAAAGAATGAAGTTAGTAGATTTCAAAAGGCACCTCTCCTCAGTGACTGCCCAAAAACTCCTATGTTGTTAATGCTGCAGTGGTAGTTATAGCAGCTGCTGCTAAAGCTAAAATTCCAGTGGAAAAGACTACTACAGGTAACTAGGCAAAGGTATCTGGTAAGAAAGCACAAAAGGCTGCTCTGAAAGCAAAAACTCATGGACTAACGTGCTTCTTAGATGTATTTCTCTTTATGAACAGAGACCAAGTGTCTTAGTTACTTTCTTGGTGGTGGGACAAAACACACAACATCCACAAGATAAAGGAGGAGAGGTTTATTTTAACTCACAGATTACAGAGGTTTCAATCTGTAGTAATCTGGTCCCAAGGCAAGGTAGCCTGGCAGGAGAAGCAGTTCATGGCATGGCAGGCAGCAAGCAGTGAGCCATCAGTGGAGGAGAGAAGTTTATATATGCACCCTTCCAGGCCACGCCCACAGTGACCCACCTCTTCCCACCAGGCTTTACCTTTAGCCTCACACCCAACTATGCACCCATCAGTGGACTAATCCAGTGTCACAGACCCATGATCCAGTCACCTCTCAAGGGCTCTGTCTATGAGCAGGAGGCTTTGGGAGGCCATGTAGACATGAGCCACAACACCAGGTTCTAATCATTTTTTAATCCACAAGGTCTCATGCCAGAAAGTCATCCCAGTTGTTGCTGTTACTGTTCAGAACAGGGCTGTGGATGGATCTGGAACTCATGGGAGGAGCCAGCGTGAATTTTTGAATCTATACTAGTTCCTCTCTAATAAACTAAAAAAACTACTAAAGTAAGTAAATAAGTCTTTTTTTTTTTTTTTTTTTTTTTTATTCTGGGTTTTGCTCTGTAGTTCAGTCTTACCTTGGTCTAAATAAGTAGCTCATAACTGGTCCCAAACTAATAGAGATCCCCTTGCCTCAGGCTCTTGAGTGCTAGGATTATAGGCCTGCACCACCATGCCCTGTGAATAAATAAATACTCTATTTATTTATTTGCTCATTTATTTTTGGTCTTTTTTTTTGAGACAGCGTCTCACTATGCAGTTCAGGCTGGCCTTGAGCTCACTTTGTAACCCAGGCTGGTCTCAAACTTACAGCAGTCCTACTGCCTCAGCCTCCCGAGTGCTGGGATTACAGCATGCGCCACCACGCCCGGCTAATATTCTTCCTACTTTATGAATCCTTGATACTGGGGAATGTGAGAAGTGGCAGGCACTTTGGTACTTTTGGATCAAACCCTTCATTTTGTCAAATGAAGAAACTGATTCTGTGGCAGAGGCAGTATTAGTTAATCCAGTATTTGAGGCTTCACACAAGTATGTCACTAGTCATGTATCTCGAAAACAGCTCTTTTACTGGCAAACTGAGCAATGATAAGAACTCATGTCTTTACTATATGTGAATGTAAATCATAAGAAATACAATGGACATTGATTTCAGAGATAAAGAAACAAACCCTGAGAAATCAGTTGCCTTGCTAAAATCCATGCAGCAATGGCTTGCTTTCTTCTTTTTGTTTTCTTCCCTCCCTAGCCAGCAAGGGTGTGTGTGTGCTTGCACAGTTCAGGCAGTATGACCCTAGGCCTCTTTTGCTAGGCAAGAATGGCTCTGGTTCCATGAGGAATATAAATCATGTGAAAAAGATAGTGTGGAGGCCAGGCAGGTTGGTACACACTTACAATTCAAGCATTCAGGAGGCTGAAGTAAGAGGATCTCTGTAAGTTTAAGGCTAACCTGAGCTACCTAGTGAGATCAAGGCCAGGTTAAACTACCTAGCAAGAAACTGAGACCCTGTCTAATATCTATCCCCAAAAAAAGATGATGGGGAAAAGGGCAAGAGTCTAGGCCAGGGGATAATATATGCAAATACAAGAAGGCAAGGGCTTTGATATTTGGCACACAGCAGAAGCTTAAGGTGTCTCAGCTGGAAACCAAGCAGAAAAGGCTGAAGAACACAGGCATTGACCATGGAAGATGCCATGGACTTTACCTGAGCCTTAGTGCCCTAATGTCTGGGTCACAGTGTCTGAAAAGTGGTAAGCAGACCAACTGCCTCAACATTACCAAGGTAGTTTTTGGTTGTTTTTTTTTTTTTTTTTTTTTGTCTATTTTCTCAGTCAGGGTCTCACTATGCAGTTCAGGCTGGCCCTGAGCTCATCGTGTAGCCCAGGCTGGTTTCAAACTTGCAACAGTTCTCCTGCCTCAGCCTCCTGAGTGGTGGGATTATAGGCATGCACCACCCCGCCCAGCTTACCAAGGTGGTTATTAAAACTTTTGATCCTAGCTCACCTTAAAAACCTTTTTTGCACAAAGAAATCATCAATAAAGTGAAAAGACAACCCACAGAGTGGGAAAAAATTATAGCCAATTGTCCCTCAAAGGACTTCTGTCTAGAACATACAAAGAATTGAAAAAGTCACACCCCTACTCAGATTTAAAGACCTAGTCCAAAAATGGGCATCTGAGATGAATATACACTTCTCAGATGAAGAAATACAAACAGCAAATAAATACATTAAAAAACGTTCAACATCATTGGTTATTCGAGATATGCAAATTAAAACAACACTGAGATTCCATCTTACCCTGGAAAGAATGGCTATCATCAAGAAGTCAACCAACAACAAATGCTGGCAGGGCTATAGGGAAAAAGGAACTCTTTTCCACTGTTGGTGGGAGTGTAAACTGTTGCAACCACTGTGGAAATCAATATGAAAATCTTAAAAAACTACCATTTGACCCAGCTATTCCCCTTCTAGGTATCTTCTCAGAAGTAACATCCCACAGCAATATATGTATAGTAGCATATAGTCCATATTTATAGTAGCATGATTTGTAATAGCTAAATCTTGGAAACAACACAAATGCCCATCAACCGGATGGAATGCTACTAAGCCAAAAAGAAAGATAAACTCAAGGCTTTTATAGGTAAATAGATTAACTTGAGACCATACTCATAAGTGAAATAAATCAGACTCACATGTGTAAACACTGTAATGTCTCACTAGTGTGAGAATCGGAAAGAATAAACAAGATGCAAAATATACAGTAGATATTGTGAATAAAGAAACTTTCAGAATAGCAAAACTGTGATGGGAGAAAGGGGAGATATACACAGAAGCTGTACTCTGAACAACTGTGAATATAACAACGTGCAATGTGATGATTGTTACTGCCCTACTAGCCTGTTTTGAAATATTTTATTGTTATTTTTTACATTTTTTTTGTTTAAAAAATAAAAGTCAAATCCTAAACCAGATGTGATAGTATACACCTGTAGTCCCAGTACTCTGAGAAGCTGTGGCAAAAGGAACTCAAGTTTGAATACAGCCTGGACAGCTTAAGTGACTTAATGAGATCCTGTCTCCAAAAATAACAAAACAATACTAAATTAAAGCAAAAAAGGGCTGGAGATGTAGCTCAGTGCAAGGGCCCTGATTTCAATCCTAGTACTGCAAAAAAAAAAAAAAAAAAAAAAAAAAGATCCAAAGGGGTGAGGGGAATAGCTCAGTGGTATAGAGTATGTGAGGCCCTGGGCTTGTGATATGAGATTGCATTGAGAAATATGTGAATTTAGGCTGTCACCATGTGTCTGTATGTAAAATTATAAATTGTGTGGGTATGTATATGAATTCTTGCTGAACAGGCTTAGTGGTAATGACAAACCAGAGACATTGCTATCTTTACAGCATGGCTGTAATCCCAGATCCTCATGAGACCAAGGAAGGAGGATCTCCATTTGGAGGTTGGTCTGAGCAAGCTGGTGACATTCTGTCTCAAAATACAGATAAAAGAGTTTGAGAGTCAAGCATAGTAGCAGCACCTATAATCCCCAAACTTAGGTGAGGCAGGAAGCTTCCAAGTTTGAGGTGAGAGTAGGCTACAAAGTGAGACCGTCTCAAAAAAACAGAAAGGGCTAGGGGGTGTAGCTCAGCAGGAAACACCTTCCTCACATGCACAAGGCCCTGGGTTTCATGTTCAGTACTGCAAAAACAAAAACCTTTCCCACTAAAAGTAATTTCCTTAGAGGAATGCAGGATCCTCCACAAAGCACTGCCCTGTAATCCCTAGGGGATCCTGGGAATACATGTGGGTGAATGGCTTGAACTACCAAGAGCTTGTTCGTGAAGCTGTTTTTTCCTTTTTTCCTCCCAGCTGAAAATGTAGCCAAAAAATGGCAAGTGAGTAGAGAAGCTCAAGACAAGGCTGCTGTTCTGTCTCAGAACAGGACAGAGAGTGCACAGAAGGCCGGCCACTTTGACAAAGAGATTGTACCAGTTTTTGTGTCATCTAGAAAAGGTAGGTATGTAAATGGAGATTTAAACATCAACCTATTTCTCTCCAAAGGAATAATGTGTGGGAATGTTTATAGTTTTATCTTAAGTTTTTCAGGTTGCAAAGATATATCCTAGATACATCTGAATGAGGGGAAGAGGATGCTGTTTGGTGGGACATGTTAACACAGCAAACCGACAGCCTGAGTGCCTACAGCTGCTGTGTTACCAGGTTTCATGAGAAACTGGACTACTGGCTGTGGCTATTAGGAGACAACAGCTGTCTTGTTTCCCATACAGGCTAAACTAAACCTCTATAGAAGTGAGCATCTGTTCCTTCTTGTTGCTTCTCTGTACATCTCACACGCATCCTTCTAGAGACTGGACCTTTTAGGATCATTTGTCCTTATCTAATACAGAATGCTGCAGCCAGCTTCCCTTACTGGCAGCTGACATGTCCTGCCCATATGAGGCTGGATTCAGATTTCCTGATGTACTCCCTAGTAGCCGGTACTGTGACCCAAACCTTAAGACCCTTTCAACATTCAGCTCCCTGGAACTGCTTTTCTCAGGAAGGGCAATGGATTTAGAAAACATTCAAAATTGTCTCATGAGGACGTCTCATAAAACGTTTTTACATACAGTAATTCCTGTGTATACTTTTACCTGTAATGAAAGGGGGTAAATATTAACGTTTTCTATCAAATGTGAATCCTCTCGATTCTGAGAAACCCACGATTCCCAGCACACTCACTGAATCTCTGTACTAATCTCAGGTTTTACTCTTTCCAGGCCTCACTGAAGTTAAAGTAGATGAGTACCCTCGCCATGGGAGTAACCTTGAAGCTGTGTCCAAGCTAAAGCCTTATTTTCTCACAGACGGGACAGGAACAGTCACTGCAGCTAATGCTTCAGGTTTGATTTCTGAAGGTCATGTGGGAGAATGCCATCTTCTGTAAGGTCTACCAAAATGCCTTTGTATACTGAATGATTCTTGTGGGCGGGGCATCTCATTATGTATCAGAACCTTGAACTCACTCTAGCTTTAGAACTCAGTGACCCTCCTGTCTCAGCCTCCCAAATGGCTGATCTTTTCTTTAGTACTGGGAATCAAATTCAGGATGTTGCACATGCCAGGCAGGTGCTGTGCCACCTAGCTGTTATCTCCAGCCCCAATGCTGATTACAGGCATGGTGACACCAGGCCTGGCAGAAGAATTTTACAGTTTCTCTATTTGGTTACTGACTTAATAATCTATAATGAATCGATTTGGTTTCTTGGCATCTCAGACATATAAATGAAACAGTAAATTTGAGTACTCCAGGTTAGTGACCTTTATATTTTTCCTATACCAGAAACTCCTAGTACATCCTTGTTCCATTTCCTTTTCTAAGTCTCCACCACTACTGTAATTTTTCCACTTTCTGTGTCCAGTTACATGCTACACTTAGCATTTGTAACTATATTATAAAGTCAGCTAAATTGCAGCAAGCAGCTTTACCAAGATGCTAGAATAATTTAACTCATGTCTTTAGGTAGAAAAGACATGTAACTGAAGTTAATGAGCATTGTGGAAATCACTCAGTCACTCCATTTCATAGGAATAAATGATGGTGCTGCAGCTGTGGTTCTTATGAAAAAGTCAGAAGCTGATAATCGTGGACTTACACCTTTAGCACAGATTGTTTCCTGGTCACAAGCAGGCGTGGAGCCTTCCCTTATGGGAACAGGACCAATTCCAGCTATAAAGCAAGCTGTAAGTACGTTAGCTCCTATCCTTTGTTCTTTTGGTAGGGACCCTGAAAGCAGAACAGTAACCTGCAATATGCTACTAAATTCTCCTAAAAGCCTCTCCTCAGACGTTCTTTCCATTCCAGGATTGTGTTTTCAGTTACTCCAATCAAGTTTATTTTTAATAAAACACAACTTCCCCTTTGCTGTTTTCTTTCTCATCTTTCTCCATAATGAACAACAACCAAGACGACTTGGATGCCGTTTTTTCACAAGTCCAGTTCTGTTTTATCACCTAACCAGCACATGTCATTGAACAATGAATGCTAATAATTCAACATTTAGGACAGTTTAGAACTACTTCTTTAAAGGACATTTCAGTGCACATACTTGAACTTCTGGATGGAATTAGTGCCACTAAGAAAATGTTTCTCACTGCTCTCATCTAGAACAATCAATAGCAGGTACTACTTCTTAAGAGGAATCCTTTCACATCATGCAGTATTTTCTTTGACCAGAAAGGAATTGTTTTACTTCAGCCCTCCCACCCAGAATTCTATGCCATTTTTTTTTTTTTTTAGGTTGCAAAAGCAGGCTGGTCTCTGGAGGATGTTGATGTATTTGAAATCAATGAAGCCTATGCAGCACTCTCTGTTGCAGTAACTAAAGAACTTGGATTAAACCCAGACAAGGTAAACATTCTGAAGTACTCCTCATTGTGCCAGTTAACTCACAATATAAACTTGTAAGAAGTATCAAATTACATTTTCCAGATTTTTAACCTTTGGTTAATGGATGAAGAAATAGTACTAAAGTCTTAACGGGATTCAGTTCACTTGTTTTGTTGCTTCCCGAAGCGAAAACAAAACGAGAACATTAGTTTACTTCAGATTTTTAAAATCATTTTTAACTAGGTGTGATACTTTGCCTATTATCCCAGTTACTCAGGAGGTTGAGGCCCCTGCGTTCACCCAGCCTCAAAAAGAAAAAGGGCTAAGGATGTAGCTCAGTGGTAAAGTGCTTGCCTAGCATGCACAAGATCCCTGATTTGACCCTCCCCAGTGCTATTAAATAACAGGGAAGGTGGTCAGCAATGAATATCACAAAGGTGTAAATTTAACCCTAAGCAGTGAAGAAAGCTCAATTTGAGAGGATAGTTTACTGGTATAACATAGGAAGAAAAACAACAAATTGAGGACTTTAACCTATGCCCACAAGATAAATGACCTAAGACAAATCTTGTCTTCCCTCTTAGGTCAACATTGAAGGAGGGGCAATAGCTCTGGGTCATCCTCTAGGAGCATCTGGCTGTCGGATTCTTGTGACCCTGTTACACACACTTGAGAGAATGGATGGAAGGCGTGGTGTTGCGGCCCTGTGCATTGGGGGTGGAATGGGAATAGCAATGTGTGTTCAGAGAGGATAAATGGCTGAAGAGCAATCACAAAGCTGGATGTGGTGGTGCGCACCTGTCATACTAGCACTTGGCAGGCTGAGACAGGACCACCACCAGCTCCAGGACAGCCTGAACTACATACACAGCGAGACCCTGTCTCAAAAGAAAAACACCCAGTAACCACACTCACTCTAAACTTAAATCTCATTTCTTTTTAAACTAATAAAGTACAGCACAGTAATGTGGAACTGAAGGACCAAAGTCAAGGAGAAAACCATCTTCTACTTCACAGAAATAGAAACTGTCAGCTTGCTGTACTTTAATGTGTAATACTCAAGCCACAAGACATTCCATCCAAAAGTATTATAAATTAAATTAAACAGAAATCACATCAGTCGTTAAGGGCTCCAGAATGAACAGCGTCTTCATAACCGCCATGCTTATCATCTTTGCCTTCTGGGTGTAATTTAATCAGGTCATCAATTCGGAGAATGGTAATTGCAGCTTCTGTTGCAAATTTCAAGCTCTTTACTTTAACTATGGTCGGTTCAAACACCCCTGCTTGTTTGTTGTCTCTCGGTTTACCATTGATCAAATCAAGACCAATCCTGCAATGAAGGAAAAAAACTGGGTACATGATCTCTTACAGGTTAAGCAGCCCATTAATTCTTGCTATTTCTGAGAAATGTTTATGACTGCAGTAGTTAATTAAGATGTGTTATGTAATGTACCAGCGCCCCACAATGGATGTTAACTGGATGTACTACAAAAATGCACTAATAAAAAATTAACGATACAGCAGTTATCATTGGCAAGTGCAGGGCTGAACACCGTTGAAAGGTTGAGAGGGTGGCAAAGAAATCCTGACCCAGGGCTGTGGTACAGGCGCCTGCCTGCCAAGCACAAGGTCCTGAGTTCAATTCCCTGTACAAAAACAATACGAAAAGAAAAGAAAGAAAACCCTGATTCCAAACCCAGCATGGTGACACACACCTGTAATCCCAGCACTCAGGAGGCTGAGGCAGGAGGATAATCACAACTCTGAAGCCAACCTGGACTACACAGTGAGTTCAAGGTCAGCCTGGACTACATGGTGAGACCTTGTCTCTAAAACTTAAACCAGAACCACCTGGATTGCAAGGATCACTTAAATATATTCTTGGAAACTGGGCTGTACAAGGTTAAGGTGCTGAACACAGGGACCTCTGGCTTGCTGGAAAAGAGCATATGCATGGTGCTCTGAAGTCAAGATAACCACAGCTGAGGCAACCAAGGACATGGACTGCTCACAGCCACTTATGCAAGCCACTTACTGTCCACTCGTTTAAGAGACTGGGGCTAGGCCAAGACCCTGGTAACAGTCATGTGTTGCACAACATTTGGACAAGGAAGATGAACACACAGGATGGTGGCCAAAACATTCCGCCTAGTAGCATCACAGCCATCCCGGTTTATTTAAGTACACTGTATGATGTTCTCACAAGGATCAATTCACCTTAATGAGATATTCCTTAGGAAGTATTCCTGTTGAAGCCGTGCATGAATCTCTTAAGGGAAGAGCCTGAAAAGAAATATGGCTCATCCTTAAATCTCCTAAGACTTCCTGCAAGTCAGATGATTCTAACCAGAGAAGCAGAGTAGAAATCAGAGTCACCTTCTTTTGGAGAAGCTATGACTGACAACAAACCTGTCATAATGTTTGAGTCTTTTGACAAGTCTGTGACTTGACAGTTGCTAAGCCTCTAGCTGACCACCACCA